CAAGGTGGGGCTCGAACCCACAACCCTGAGATCAAGGGTCACACATTCCACTGACTGAGCCTGCCAGATGCCCCTATTTTATCTTTTATCTTCTCTATTAGTCACAACTATTTTAAAGTCCTTATCTGATTAAATCCAATATCTGAATCATAGGGAGTTTGCTTTTGTTGACTTTTTTGTTCTTTTTGGTTTTGGTTATTTAGTTCAGTTTTGTTTTGTTTTTAGCATGCCCCATAATTTTTGATCCAGTGCTGGATCATGCAGATTAAAAATTGTAGAGGCAGGGCACCTGGGTAGCTCAGTCAGTTAAGCACCGACTTTGGCTCAGTTCATGATGTCACGGTTTTGGAGTCGGAGCCTCTCGCATTGCGCTCTCTGCTGTCAGCAAGAGCCCGCTTTGGATCCTCTGTCCCCCTTTCTCTGCCACCCCCCCCCCACGTGTGTGTGTTCTTTCTCTCAAATAAATAAACATTTTAAAACATCTTAAAATAAAAATAAAAATAAATAAAAGTTGTAGAGGCTTTCGATGAGGTTATCTGTCTCCAGAAGGATTATGTTTTCTTCTTACAGAATACTGGTGGGTCACTTAGACCCCACGGAGGCATGTTTTTATTAGGGTTGAACTATTGTAATTTTGCCTTTTCTTCTGGGCCAGTATCCTCACTCCTCCGGTGTTGTCCTTTCTCCTGGGGTGTGGCCTTTGTTCCCAGGGTGTAACCCTTCCAGTTTAAAGCCTGAGGTGTTTACCAAGGCCTCTGTGGGTCAGCCGGCTTTAAACTCTAACTTGTATTTCTTTCTTTAGCACACATGAGGCTCCTGAAAACGCTCTCAGTTTATTGCTTTCTCAGCTATTGTTTGCTTCTGAGTTTGCGGAGTCTCACTCTGTGCTTGCACAGCTTAGGAGTCAGCCAGAGACTTGAGAGAAATGTATTCGCTGATTTTTGGCTCTTTCTCTGTGGTTTTCTTCTCTCCAGTATTTTGACCCTTAAGCCCCAGACACATTGGGTGCTTTGAACTTGTACCTGTGTATTTTCAGCCCTATGAGATTGCTGCTTTCTGTATGGGCTCAGTTCTTTTGAGCCACAATTTGGATAGTACAACTCTGAAAAAAATCTGGGCTATGGAATTCCCTTTTCTCAAAGATTGTAGACCTTCATTTCCTGATTGCATTTGTTATTTCTTTTAAAAACATTTTTTTTAATGTTTATTTTTGAGAGAGAGAGAGAGAGAGAGAGAGCTCGAGCATGGGAGGGGCAAAGAGAGGGAGACAGAATCTGAAGCAGGCTCCGGGGGCTCTGAGCTGTCAGCACAGAGCCCCATACAGGGCTGGAATCCACAAACCACAAGATCATGACCTGAGCCGCAGTCGGACTCTCAACCGACTAGCCACCCAGGCGCCCCTGAATTACTTCTAATGTCTTCAAAGACACTTTAAACTTTTTTTTAAAGTTTATTTATTTTTTATTTTTTTAAATTTTCTTATTTTTTTAAGTTTATTTATTTATTTTGAGAGAGAGCACAAGCAGGGGAGGGGCAGAGAGAGAGGGAGAGACAGAATCCCAAGCAGGCTCCGCGCTATCAGTACAGAGCCTGATGTGGGGCTTGAACTCACGAACCATGAGATCATGACCTGAGCTGACATCAAGAGTCGGATGCTTAACTGACTGTGCCACCCAGGTGCCCCTTTAAGTTTACTTTTATTCATTTTGAGAGAGACAGACAGCAAGCAGGGGAGGGGGAGAGAGAGAGAGGGAGGCGGAATACTAAGCAGGCTCCACACTGTCAGGCAGACCCCATTGCCAGTCTCGAACTCACGGATCGTGAGATCACAGCCTGAGCTGAAATCAAGAGCCGGTCATTTAACCAAGTGAGCCACCCAGGTGCCCTTCAAAAATATTTTATGTATGTTGTCTAGCTTTTATGATTTTCTTTCAGTGGGAAAACAAACTCTTTGTTTGGAATCAGAATCCTCCCCAATTACATGGATATATAGGGTCTACAGGGCCCTCCATGATCTGCCTCTGACCAGTTCTCTGACTCCTTCCTCTATTCTCTTCTTTCCTCATTTCAAGTCAGCCATATAGGTCTTTATTTTGAAAGCTTATTCCCATGCCAGGGTCTTCAACTTGTTACTCTCTGCTTTTGAACATTTTTGCCGTGGTCTAAATGTTTGTGTCTGCCCTAAACTTATATGCGGAAATACTGATAGCCAATGTGATTATATTAGGAGATAGGCCTTTGGAGGTGCTTAGGTCGCGAGAGGAGAGCTCTCATGAATGGGATTAGTGTTCTTATCAAGAACCCCAGAGAACTCCCTAGCTCCTTCCACTGTATGAGAACATGGCGAGAAGTGAGCAGTCTGCAACCCAGAAGAGGCTTCCTCAGAACCTGGCCATGCTAGCCCTCTGATCTCGGACTTCGCACCTCCAGAACTGTGAGAAACAAATGTTTATTGTTTATAAGCCACCAGGTCTGTGATATTTTGTTATAGCAGCCTGAGTAGGCTAAGCCAACTTGAGATCCAGATGTTTTATGTGGTTGGCATCTGTATGCCAATTGGCTCTTAGTTCAGTTATCACTCAGAAAGCCTTTCCCCACCTGCCTTTCTATAAAAACCCTCCCTGCCTCAGCCACCGCGCATACCTTTTATTTTCTTCAGAGCACTTAAACCATCTGAAATGATCTTGCTCTTTGTTTATTGTCTTACTGTTTATCTCAGCCAGTTTTTGAGCAATGCCTGGCATAAACAAAACAAAACAACCCAAACTCAACCTATGCATATTGAGTGCATCAAGGAAGTGAGGAACAAGAAACAAAAGATACAATAAAGGGTAAACTGAATTCAGAGTTTGTGATAGGGACAGTCTATTTTGTACTGAAAAGTCATTGAGGTCAGGAGACCCAGGTTAGGTCAACCCTCTTCCCACTGGCTCAGGAGTTTGTGCCTTATATAAAGTCTAGACTTGCCTAACACAGTCTGGGCTGGCCAGGTTCCCAGATTTCTCTGGGTTTCTCGCTTCTTGGTCATTGTGATTTCAAGATCAGCACATACACTCCTCCCTATCTTCAGAGGCAATCTGTGGCTGGGTATGGGGTTTCCTCAGTAAGGCTGAGAGATAGGCAACTGCTGGCTTCTTTTAACAGACTGTCAACTGCTAGCCTTAAACTATTTATCTTTTAAATTTTTAAAAAAGTTTTATTTATTTAAGTAATCTTTACATGCAACGTGGGGCTCAAACTCCTGACTTTGCAATTAAGAGTCACATGCTCTTCTGACTGAGTAAGCCAGGTGCCCCTAGCCTTAAATTAGTTTAAAATAATCTCCCACTTGTCTGAGTGCAATGCAGACCCATTACTGAAAATTAATGGCCCTTAGTGACTTTTTAAGAACTTCCGATGACTCTAGCCTGCTGACAACTTACCTATGCTATGTATCTGTTCATGAATATGTACATTTATGTGGCTTACCCTGGGCTGACTTAGTCAATGCTGAAGTTTGGCAGCAGCCTCAGAACCATTTTATGGCATCAGCAGGGGTGAGTGTTGCCAGAGAGGCCAACACACCCTCATTCCCAGAGATAGAGGCCTGCTGTCAGCCAAAGTGGGCAGTTTATACCCCCAGAACATTCTCAATCTCAGGGGATCCTTATGGGTTCCCTGAGTCCACCTGGCTTTTTAGACTAGTTATGTCTGATCTGATCTTCACTGCCCATTCCTCTGTGCTATTCCTCAGTTGAATTAGAATCCAACCCAGGCCTGATACAAGGCTCAGATGACACAATGGATGTGTGACCTTTGAGAAGGTATCCTATCTCTTAAGGACATATCCTATCTCTTAAGGAGAGGGAGGGACACCAGTGTGAAGTGAATCAACCATTCCCTAAAGTGCCCAAGATGCTGCTTTCGGGTAAGCACAGTTCACCCTGAGCAACTTGAGGCCTCAAAGATCTTTTTTCTTCTCCTCCTTTATTATTACTTTTAATTTTTTTTTTTAATGTTTATTTTTGAGGCAGAGAGAGAGAGAGAGAGAGAGTGCGGGCAGGGGAGGGGCAGAGAGAGATACAGAATTTGAAGCAGGCTCCAGGCTCCCTGTTGTCAGCACAGAGCCACACACGGGGCTCAAACCCATGAACCTTGAGATCATGACCTGAGCCAAAGTTGAATGCTTAACCAACTGAGCCACCCAGGCGGCCCTTCTCCTCCTTTAAACAGGAGGTTAAGTTCTAGTCTACAGTCGGGACTCAGGCGCAAAAGGCTTCCCAGCTTATTCATAGTATTGGCTATAACTTTTTGAATTCTATATTGTGGGCCAGGCACTTTCCTTATTATTATTTCTAAACTTCACAATTATACTTTACGTTAGAGCTCCTCCTCTTCTTCATGGGACGAGAATAATAAGGCTCAGAAGTTAAAGGGTTTCCTAGTCTTCAGAGCAGCAAAGATTATAACCGGGTCTTTCCTTAACTCGGAACCTGTGCTCCTAACCGGGGCTCCTACCCCTTATCCAATGCTGCCTTCTTCCCTGGGTAAGAAAGGTTCTGAGGCAGGTGGAAGGCAGCACGGAGAGATGCAAGAAGAGACTCTCAGGTTTCGGAATACACCTGATCGGGTAAAGTTCACGTCTACACACAAAGTTTTTTGTTTTTGTTTTCCCCCCACCTACCCCCGTCACTGAACAGGCGACATACTCTACCGGCCATCTTGGTTGTGGCAATCCCAATTCCTTTTTATTCTCCTGTGACGACAACCGAGGGAATTATTCATAGCCGCCCTGCCCAGGCTTTTTAAGGAACTCCAGCAATTTCCCCGGCAAAGAGCCTCTAAGGCCCAGGGCGTGGGCCGTTTCAAGCGCAGCCTCCTCCGGGGCTCTGCTCTCAGTACCCCGGTCGGCGCCAGCAGAGGAGGGGCTCGGGTGGGCCCCACCGGGCCCCGCCCGCGCCCCGCCCCCTCATTTAAATACGCGGCGCCGGCGGGTGCGTCGAGCTCGCCGCGGACTCAAGATGGCGGCGTGTGGACGTGTACGGAGGATGTTCCGCTTGTCGGCGGCGCTGCAGCTGCTGCTGCTCGCGGCGGCCGGGGCCCAGAAACTCCCGGGCCAGGTCGGCCACGGCCAGGGCCAGGGCCCGGGGGCCAACTTTCCGTCCTTTGTAGGGCAGACTGGAGGAGGCGGGCAGGCGGGTCAGCCGCTGCTCCAGATGCCTCAGTCATCTCAGCTCCAGCACCAGCAGCAGCCACCGCAGCAACCGCCTCAGCCGCCGCAGCCGCCTTTCCCGGCGGGTGGGCCTCCGGCCCGGCGGGGCGGAGCGGGGCCCGGCGGGGCTGGCGGGGGCTGGAAGCTAGCGGAGGAAGAGTCCTGCAGGGAGGACGTGACCCGTGTGTGTCCCAAGCACACCTGGAGCAACAACCTGGCGGTGCTCGAGTGCCTGCAGGACGTGAGGGAGGTAAGGAGGAGGCGGGACGGAGCCGGGAGGGCCAGGCCTGGTGCGGGCCTGAGGGTGTTGCCGGCCTTGGAAGCCGCTGACGCCGGTCCGCTGCTTCTCTCTCTTCCTCTGTGCTGCACTCGCTCCTTCCCTCCCCGTCCCTAGCTAGCTCCCCGGCGCATTCCGAGAAGAGGACCCCACCCCCACTCCTCATTCCCTCGCCGGGGCGGGGGTCTGGGAGTCAGACCCTGGCTCCTGGCCGCTATCTGCGAAGGCCCAGAGCGTGTTTATGTTTGCTTCGGTCTTTTGTGTGATGCTCTAAGCACAGTAGCTCCTCGCCGAAGACCGGCTTAGAATTTTGCTATTTGTTTCGACTTGGACAATTTGTAGCAGCCCTTTTAAACATGAAAAAAAAAAAATGGTTGTCGTACTTAAGCCGTTAAGAAACGCTCTTCTGTTTATTGGCAGTAGGTAAGGTTTGTTTAGGTAGCTCGGGTTCTGTTCTGATGTGTATTGTAGTCCAAACATCGAATTTACTATCTTTACCCTATTCTTTTCTAATTCGCGAATTCTTACTATGCATACATGCTGAAACTAATGTATGCCTTTTATTTTCTTAATTTCTTTTGGTCAATTTGTAGTGCATCTCAAGTTTAAGCTGTTACTCCAAGTAATTTAGAGTCCCAAAGCTTGAAAAGTTGGGACAGCAGTCGAAGCTGTAATACCTATACAGTATTTGTGATTGGGTTGTGGGATCTTGCCTTTCTGACGTCTGAATATGATTTTAACAGGACCTCTTAATGAGATCTAGATTTGATATTCTTTAACGTGATTCAGTTAAGTGACACAGAGAATGTCCTTTCTAGATTTAATGCTGCAGTATATTTGACAATTATCAAAGTGTCGGAGCAAATCTGGTAGGGGTTTGTTTTGTTTTAAGGTTTAGGTGTATAGAATTAGGCCCAAAGGTTGACAAATAGAATGAAAACTGCTCTTGATAACAGTTTTATTTGGGGAATTGTATCAGAATTGTCTGGGGTGTTATGATCATGGGAAGACCACTGGTTTGTAGAAAATTGCTAGTTTTGGCAGTACACCCCTATCCCCATCCCACTGTGGTACCTGCTTTATCTAGTATTCTATACAGAGTAGTTCACAAGAGGAAAAGACACACATAATCAGAAGACAGAAAGGAAGTTTCCAGAGCCAACAGAAATGTGGGGCCGCAGATGACTTCTCATCTACAGCTTGAAGACTAGAAGGATAATCCATTGTTATTCCTTATTTTTCAGCTACTTTTCTTGTAGATACAGCTAAGATTCTTAACTGTCAGGCTTTTTGGAGTTTTCTGTTTGGTCTCTGAGGGTATATAATAGATGTTGTTCCCTCAAAGTAGGACCCTAATATTGGTGACTGAACACTTTGTTAGTGATTGTGGCAGAAACAGGATGTTATTAGGGAAAGTAGCAAAAAGTGGCCCATGCATGGAGTACATGTCTCTTTCTTTGTGTGCATTAGGGGCGTTTGGAAACCTCCACTTATGGGAGCTGGCTTCCTTTGTCATGCATGTAGAAGTGTGTAGCAGCATATGTAATCCATAAATAACTTAGATTTGGCCACTTTTTGGAGTCTGTTTAATTTTGTGGACACTGTCTTGCATTACTTAGTGTAAAGAACCTGGCTTGAAGATGTAGTCCCTGCTCCACATTGACTGTGAGATTCTCAGCAAAGATATTTTTCAGTAACTATGTTC